GACCCCCGCCTGCTTCCCGCTCCCTGCCCTGCCCGCTCTGCCCTGCATCCTCTGCAGCGCCGGGCGGATGAACCCACACTGTAACGCGTCCCGTTGGCTTTCTGTTTTCGGGGAGTGCCGTGCGGTGTGCGTGTGCTGGTGGGAGGCCAGAGGAGCAGGCTCCATCCCCTCGTTACCGCTGCCTTTTGTCTGCATGCGGAGAAACCCGGTGGAGGGTTAAGATTTCCCTTTGTAACTTCAGGGGTCAGATCTTGAGTCTTGTTTTGAAATGGGTGTGAAGCTTCCCAGTAGCTGTCCTGACCAAGCATTTTTTTTTTTTTTCTCTTATCGCTGTTTCAGCCCCAAGATGAAATAGAAGTTGAAGATGGGTTTAAACAGTATGATGGTAAGGCTTTGCTATGGTTTTTTCAAAGTGTAACTCAGAAACTTGAGTATTTTGATCCTTTTTGTGCACTGTTTTTGTACTGACTGTTATGAGATGATCCATAATTACTGCTTGATTATAGTTGTCCATTTTGTCTTAGTGATTAGTGCACTAGATATGGAAGCTATGATGAGTACCATAAATGCCTGGATAAAAAACCCAGTCAAGTTTGAACGTTCTCATGGGATCAACAACACACTGGATGCCCAGATCTTGCAAGATATGGAGGCAGGAGATGAGACAATCCACATTCTTATTGTTGAAGGCTTCCTACTTTACACCTACAGGTAATCAAATGTGCCTTAATATATTTTGATTTTTACATGATAAGCAAACCTCCAAGGGAATAAAAAGACCTGTTGTAAACCAAGAGCTAGCAGCTGGTATTGACTGCTGCCGAGTTCAGGTGTCACAGGCCCAAAGATAGTGCTAGGTACAGGAAATGGATGTAGTTTTACCTTTCCACTTCTTGCTGCTAATCAAACAGTCTAGTGGTAACCAAACACGTGTCTCTTTCAGGCCACTGATAGATGTATTCCACCATCGGTACTTTCTTTCCATTCCGTATGAAGAGTGTAAAAGGAGAAGAAGGTAAGTTTAAGTTCCCTTGCTAGCCCAGTAACATCTTACTCCATTCAATAATTTGTTTCTCTGAAGCTTTTAGATAAGAAAAGATAAACACTAACTTAGCTGCTGTGTTAGATGAGTGTAGCTTCCTTCCCCCAACAAACCCAAGAGCTTCCTAGAAAACTACTGTGAATGTGAGGCTAATGCTCAGTTTCCACACGGATCTCTCAGTAGGCTCTCTTTATTTCTGGTTTTCCAATTACATGGTTCCCAGGTCTCAGTTTATCCTGGGGTTTTATATTTGGCTGTGTTGTTGTACACATACACTTTTCTCAATGCAAATGATGTGTTAACTTGAAGTGATGTTTTGGAGGAATAAGCAGACAGCTATTTTACCCAAAGTTCTGCTAAAGCTTTAAGAGAAGGTTATTCATCAGTAGTAAGATCAGTCTGTCTTGGGAATCCTTTTTGCATCTTGAACACTTTGGACCCGCACATTAAATCCCAACTTTTGAGGGTATCTTGATGCTTGTAGCTTAGGCTAAATACTCACTTTTGATAAGTTCAGAAACTACACTGGAGACAACAGGCTCAGGCTAGTGTAGAAAAACTGAATGAACTGTCATTTCCCTGAACTGCAGTTAGACTACTCTTGAATAACAGTGTCTATAATTTACAGTTCAAGGAATTACACTGTACCAGATCCACCTGGATTGTTTGATGGCCACGTTTGGCCTATGTACGTAAAGCACAGGAAGATAATGGAAGATCTTGGAGTTGATGTGGGTGAGTCTAATGACAAAAGCAGTTTTGAAAGATTGTTTAATGAGAGTGCTTTTCAAACCTGGGTTAGATGCATGAGAGGAACTGAAGCAGGTGGATGGAGTATACTTCTCTCATACCAGTCAAGTGCATGCTCTTTAAATTGGGATCTGGCAGGCTTACAGAAACATTGAATTACATCTCTCTTATTTTACTTTCTTCCTTTTAGTGCACTTGAATGGAACAAAATCAAAGGAGGAGCTGTTTAATGATGTGTATGGACAGATCCAGAATAAGATTGAAGAATTACTTAACAGGCAGGTACATGTTCATGCTTGTAATTGCAACTCAAAGGCAGCCCATTTAGAGGCTATGTTGAAGAAGCATGGAACTATAACTTGAAACATGTTCATTTGTATCTCTCCTTTTAGAAATAATGGCTGATGGTGATTCTTGGGGTAGAAGATGATTCCTGTTTGCTCTGCGCTGTTTACCCAACTGCTACTAAAGTTCCAGCTTCTGTGAAGACTCTCAACTCTTACATTTGACTTTGTTCAATCTTCCCTTGAAACTGAGTTATATGTGGTCATAATTAAAAAGCACTTCCCCTTTGTCTGTCATCTTAATTTGTGCTTCAGCCTAGCATGTGGCCTCAGATTATCTGTCTTCCCCCAGTCTCCAGGCTGGTGGGAGTTCTTTTTTACTATGCACTTAACCTGTGAGAGTAAAACTTTATAGTGGAAGTGGCACAACTATCCTAGGAGTGTGTGTATGTGCCTGTGCATACACACACACACCCCCACACACACATACTGCTTTGCGTGCTTGCCTTTCAAAAACCTGCAGTCCATCTAATTAGGCAGCAAATATGATTCTTGATTAAGAAGTTAAGGGGTTTTTTTGCTCTTCAAAAATAAGAGAACAAGATGAGGTTTTCAGGCCATTTTACTAGCATTAAATCACTCTTTGATCTCAGATGCAGACAATTCACTTTAGAGTCATAGAGAAAATTTTACATATACAAACCAGCTTTAAAACTTGATTGCTCTAGAAAATTTTGGTAGCGTTGTGTAGCTTAAGGCAAGTTCACACTTAGGTTCAGACTCCTCTGTAGGCACAGAAGGAGTTCAAGGCCTTGGTTTACAGAGAAGGGCTGTGAAAGAGCGTATTAAGGCTTAATCACCAGTAAGGGGGAAGTGAACTGGGGACAAAAGCTTGATTAAAAAAAAAAAAAGTCTCCTAGGTAGTTGTCCAAGAGGAAAGATGTGTGTTGCTCCACTGTGAGACCAGTCCTTTTTCTTCAAAAGGGTTTGACTAACACAGAACCAGCACTTACTTCAAGCCCAGATGCATCAGCTTCCTGACAGGAGCTGGTCCTCCCCAGTATCCCCTGGAAATGCAGAAAAGTTGTTTTATGTAGTGGTATGTATATACTATCAAAGTAGGGTTTTTGAGGAGCGTGTTTGTTTACTCCCATAGGATACCAAACTTGCTAAGATTAGTATTAAGGGTTTGTTTTGGAGAATCGTCTTAAATGGGGCAAAGGGTGGTGCCCTTCTGTGCAATTCAACGCCATTCTGCTTGAACAAACCCCTGTTAGCAGTGAAGTGCCCAGAATCCTTGGAAAGCTGAAGTCTTAATCTTAACTAAGGCTAGAATTTGCTTTTATTCTAGCAAAGAACTAAGCCAGAACAGGTATCTGTACCTGGCTTTCTTCTGAAGGATTGATTACAGTGGCTCTGCCTGCTCAGAATTGAAATACTTACTTGAGTAGTGCGTTCCAATAGAGAAAAGGCATCATGTCAGCTTTCATATGATACATGGTTACTCTCTCCTTACTCTGGTCAATGGGAAAGGTCTCCAAAGGCTGAGCATTGTAGTCAAATTCTGCTAGAATCACCTTGTTGTAGCCTGTTACCAGCGGGCAGGAAGTATATCCGTCATACTGCAATGAAGAACACCCCCTTTTCATTCATCTGAGTCAAACTGCTGAGGTATTACAAGCCATACAGTTAACATTCACATTTCAAAATAAGTTACTAGGAGGTTTCTGCATTTATAGCATTAATGCCAGCAAGTGTGGAAGGGTGCTAAGCCAGTTATGGTTTAATATCCATAATACTAAGCCATTTTATTTCAAATGTAGATTTGCTTAACAACATTACTTAAATTAGAACCCGACTAGAACAATAGGGCTTTGTGTCATTAGTTGCTGGTTATTCTTGTAACCAGCAGAGCAGGTGACTAGTAGAGCAGGATGAGAGCTGGTGCTAGCTTTAAACAGACATATATAAACAGGATCTTGAATCTAGCTGTAAGAATTTCCAGAGGATTGCAGGAGTATGGCTGATGATATTCAGGTTAGTACCCCAAGGAATATTAATTAAGAAACCATATGTAAAATGAAAGTCAAGTCTCAAAGAGAAATGTGAGCATAGTTATAGGCTTAACATCCTCTGTAGTACAAAACCTTCAATTTAACTCCTTAAAATATAATGTTCTGTACAGGGGAGGCAAGGTTACCATAGTACAAGTGTGTAAAGTTAAGGGTTTTCTTGCAGTAGGGATTATACTAGTCAGCAGTTCTACTCTAAATAAGTCACCTGCATTGGTGAAGAACCCAGACTAATCAGCCTTTCAACTTCTTTCAACTCAGAAGTCAAGGAATTAAACATAATATTTTTAATGTCAATATCAAGAATATAAATTATGCAACTAAATTACTACTATGGCATACAGTATTTAGCCATTCACCACCCCAGCTGCTGATGCAAAGCCATTCCTGTTCACACGGTTTAGCTACTTGCAAGACTTCCTGCAGAAAACTGAAGACATTCAAGGTAACTTCTCCCTAAGACAAGGTCTGTAGGTACCTTTTTAGTTGGCAACTGGTTCTTCATTACCAGGGAAATAGTTTTATCAAGCACTCCAGACTGGGCAGCTAAATAAGAAAGAAAGAAAAAAAAATGTTATTAAGGCATTTCAGGCAGCAATTATTGTCATTACTAGAGAAAACACTACTAGGTGGGCATTGTGTTGGACAACTCAGCTGTAATTAAAGTTGTATGTCAAATCGGTTTGGGAAGTTTACAGTCCCAGATGAGAAAAAAAAAATTGTAATAATGCTTTGTCCCTGTGTCCAACACGAAAGCTTAATGGAGCTTGAGCTGTATGTTTTTAACCTATGCCCATTCTCCTGTGCTACACTATACTTGTTCAGTCTTTCCAAACACTAAGATTCTGCCACAGTGAAGTTTTGTTTCATTATCAGTGCTGTAAGGGAAGCATTCTAGACTCAGTTACTGGAATAGCTGACTACACCATTCTTCATGTTACAGCAATAACACACTATCTAGCCTCTTTTTTTCCACATCAATGACATATTGTATAGACTTTTTCCCACCATCTTATTTGCATCTTTTTTTTTAGTTGTAAGACCATATGCCTAAAGCGTATTTATACTGGACCCTGTGGCTACAAGTACAGAACACGTGATTCTTCGGTAGTGACTTATCAGCTGACACACATGCATAAGCTGCGAAGATAGAGCAGAAAGTTTTGTTACTGAATGATGACAAATGCCAGAGTAGTACACTCATTTTATGCTGTTCTATGGACACAGAAAATAGAACTAGTTCATCTGTGAGGCATCTGGAACAAGAGAACTGTGGGTTAATGGCATCAGCATGGTCTGTAGCTAATTAGTTGGACCAGGAGACTTTGGTCTTTTTGAAAGCTGGAAATAATCGAAGTCAAGACCTCAGGAGTAACAAACTAAACAAAGAGCTTACTGTCGCTCCCACACTTCTCATTACACACAAACACACACGTGCACCTTTACCTACAGCTGCAGCAGTTTTTGATGTTGGAAGGTTGGTGCAGTCTCCAATTCCAAATACGTTAGGAAACTTCTTATGTTGTAGAGTTTCCTTATCTACATCCACCCAGCCAATTGCATCAGAGACAGGGCTGTTGATGAGCACATCAGGTGGCCCCATTGGGGGTGTGACATGAAGCATTTCATACTAGACAGAAAGAAAAGGCACTCAGTGGCTCGTTTATCAGAACAAATCATACCTGTGTTGATATAAGGCAATATGAGCAGGGTGGAGAAGGGTTTTCTTGGTTTGTTTCTCTTGATTTTTTTTTTTAACACAAGCACATAGAATGAAAATTTGCTCTCAAATTTGAAGTGCGTCCTTTCATTAACGTGAACCTTATCAGGCAACTCCATTTGGGCTGGTGTAACAGCTATTTGCCTTCCTCCATATATATCTGAGACATTCCCAAGTTATACTAACAAGGAATACAGGACTCCAGGAATGGTTTATGAAATATTTTTTTCCTTCTCTCCACCTTCATTTCAATCTTTTTAATCTGCTAAAGTGAGAGATGGTACTCTTGGGAGGTGACAGCAGTACACAACGAAGCAGACAGTGTGGCAGTGCTGTTCCAGTATACAAGGAAAAGAAATAGGACCAAACTAGAGGTCTGAAAGCTCCTGACCTGATGAACTTCAGTTACTCCGGGTTTGTCCAAGTTTTCAAACACAGCTTCTTGCTTGTCTGCTCGAACTTCTATGAGGTTGCGCTTATAGTTAACAGTAATATTCCTTTCTTTTACTATTTCAAGCAATGCATCAGCATACTTCTTAACACCAAAAATGACACCAAGTGAAGTGTTGAACATTACATTTGCTTTGGAACGTTTTCCTGTCTGCAGAGAGAGATCAAATTAGCCTTTTCTGTTAGGAACCTGTGACAAACTAGCAGAGACAAAAGAAGTGTGCTGCAGTGCTGGGGAGCTGATAGAGCTACTAATGCAGTTCAATTATTAATGAAGTATTAATATTAGAACTCTTGCGAGACAACTATTTCATACCATCTTAGAAGCTAGACAAGATAATCTTTGCCCTTTCTGAGTGAGGTACTGAAGGCACCCCACACAAATAGCTAGTGAGAAGAGGTGGCTGCAATTCATCAAGGACCTGCTGCACCCAGGCTGAGCGCTTGTAGCAGCTTAGCATTGTATAGCTTCTGAAACCTTCAGTTCTGTGCATTAGTCAGATACTGGCCTAGTAGAAAGCTCATGAAACTTGAACATATATGAAGCCTGACACTTCCACTTGCAGGTGTCTTTTGTTTCCAATAAGCTTGCTTTAACAGCCTGGCTAAGCCTCCTTCTGATGCAGAGACTGTGCACAAGGAGCAAGCATAGCCACTTTTCAGACTAGCAGAAAGACAAACAGCAACAGGTATTAAGTAGTTAATTCCAGCCAGCATTACTTTAGTGCACCACCTGAAGTTATGAATTAGGCTGAGAACAGTTGTATCTGTAGCTTGATTTCTACAACTTTCTCCAGTATTAAACAGATGCTAAATATTTATGTATGATTCAGTTAGCTTAATTCATTATAGAGTAATAATAGAAAAGGCAACCCAGTCACATTAATTTAATAGTCCTGAGTCACATTCCTCTCATGTGGTTTTTATTTGTTTTAAAGATATGAACCCCTTAGAACAAGCCTTCCTTCCAGCTGTGGGAACAAGCACTGGCAGAGAGTGTAAAATACTTACTTTCCTCCAGTAGGCCTCTGATAAATACATGATCTTCTGCGGAGCCCCTGCACACTTCACTGGAGTATTTGGAAAAGTGAAGATAGCATTTCCTTCCTTGAAATCTTGTAAAGCTTTCCATGTTTTCTCTACCGTATGAACTGAATAATTGGAACCTATTTTAGGGTGATTAAAACCCTCAGGCAAGCCTTTGATCTAAGAAAATGAAATTAAAGTTTAAAATACAGATGGCAAAAAATGTTGTCATCATCATCAAGCATTAAATACAGACTTGAGAAATAGCTATTTAAGAAGCCTCTAGCAAAAAGAAAGCCCATACGTACTTGCTAGTTGGCACTTTTGAAAATAAGCCTAGCATCAAACAGGTATTGCCATTAGAATTGAGTAGATGTAACATTTACTGAAATGACTCTGGTCTGCGACATCTGTAGCATAAGTGTTCAGTGCAGACCAAGTTTTTGTAGCCTAGTGCGTGAAATTCAGAGTAAAATTATATAAAAGTCACTGCCATGTCATCATAAGTAAAAATAATGTAAAAAAAGGCATTATGAAATTTTATGAGGTGAATGAAACTTTTCAGTAGTCAGCTGCAGATACTTGTGTTTCCTAGGGTACTTTGGTTTACATCAACTGTCTCCAATACTCCCTACTACTCCTACTATGTCCGAGCATCTGTGAGAAAGGGAGCTGTCCCCAGTTCAGAGTAACAGATTGCAGAAATTCTGTGGGAAAATGGAGTCACGTTACAAGCGCTGCGATGTGTTTGGGATGTTACAGTCTACACCAGGAAGCGTGCTGTTGGTGAAGACAAATAAGAGAAACGATCCTTCTTTTTAAAGCGTCCACTTTCATTTTAAAGCTATATAAATCCTTACTATGAATTCTGTTCACTAGAGTAATCGTGATTAACTGTATTACATGGCTTCTACTGAAAAGATACACATGAAGACAGAGAGTCACTGAACACAATGTAATTCCCCATTCTGCTGACCTAATCACCAGAATTTGTCTGGTGTGACTATAAACTAACACTAGCTCTTGCTTTACATATGCCTGGGGAGCTTTTCAAAGAGAAACTCAAACATACTATCAGGTACTACATCATATTCAGGTCAGGTCAAAACCACGAGAGCCAAATCGGTCAAACATCTTGCCTTTGTGTTTTCCTCCCCCTGCACATTGCCATGGTCATCCTTGTGCCACACATTCTCCTCTGAGTGCCACTGGATACAGTGGACAGGAAACCTCACAGATGGGAAGGGCCCCAGGACCCATTTAAACAAGCACGGCAACTCAGCCGGTCCCTTTGAAGTGCATCCTTTAGGAAAAGTGAGGGTGAGTCAAATTAATTCAGCAGTAAAGGTTGTACTGACTGCTGTGTGTTCCTCTCTTCTGTTTACATTAGAGATGCTTCAGACTACAGTCAGCATACTTCATTATCTCATTATTACAGACTGCCTTTAAATTCTAGATTTAACTTGCTGCCCCATCTGCTGATACTGCCATAAGACAGCACAAAGCTGTCTTAAAAGACCTTCCCAAGGGTAATTTGGGTTATTACACAGAGATCTGCAGAAGGAGTAAAGTCATTAGGCTGTCTTCTGGCTCTTTAATTCATATTAGCGTTCAGTATCTTGCAATTAAAACAGTGTACTGAAAAGCCATTTACTGCAGTGAATCATAAGGGTGCGTGTTGCCATCAAGACTAGTAAAAAGATGACCACTGTAAAACAAATACCTTCTCATAATGCAGACTAATCCCAAGGGCAATTATCAGATACTTGTAGGATATCTGTTGTGTAAGGGAAAAAAAAAAGTATTTTAGACAAAACCCAAAACATTATCCTAAAGCAAATTTAAGTTACCTTACAGGAAGAGAATCATAAGGGAAGGAGAAACAGGGAGCATTAGTAACGGTAATGTTAAGCTCTATGAATAATTTATAGTTAAAATGCTAACTGCATTACCAGTTACACACACAGCCTTTGCTATACATAAAACCAAGTGTTTGGAGAAAAATATTCTATCTTTTATGTTCAGTTCACTATAAACAGGGAAAAGACTTATGATAATTTAAGTTGATGTTATTCTAACCTAGTTATCTACAACAATTTTTATTAGAAACAGATTTTAGGATCAGGTACTTCTCATAAGACTGAGTGGAATTTTGTGGCCTCCTAGATGCTGGAGGAAGCTCTTGCTCAATAAGCAGTTCCAAGGGGATCTGCAGGAGGTGAACAGACAACTTATAACACAGAATAAGAGACTAAGCATAACTTTTTTTTTTTTTTTTTTTTTTTTTTTAACATCATTACCTTGGTATCATTCTCCAGCCAGACACAGTTCTTATCTGGATCCAATGCTGTAACTCGAGATTTGATCCACTCGACACCTGTAGGCATTACACTCCCTGTTGGACGTGCAGAAGTTGCCAGCTTCTTTGCACCACCACCAACCAGGGTCCACAGTGGCTGATAGTAATGAGTCTGAAAGAAATGTTCAAAAGGACATTTAAGAAGTATTTAAAAAAGGGACTTTAAGATGAAGGCTCATCACTCCAAATAGGAAGCAATGTGCTTTTAACATTTTATTCTTCTTAAAAGAAGCTGTATAAATAACCAAGAGTTTTGCATAAGAAAGCTGGAGGGATGCATTCATCTCTATCACGGAGCAATAACTTTCACGCAAAGCTTTCTACAAGATGGCTAGGTGGCTTCCTCTCCACAGTTAAAAACATGTGGGGCTGGAGAGGGATGAGAATCAGACCAGTCTGGTCACGTATGTAAAGCCTTTATTCTTTTCAATGCTGTACATCCGAGGAAGACTCACCTTACTTGGCTCCACAACGGCCACATTTCCTGCCCCCACTTTCCTCTTCATCCGAGCACTCATGGCAATTCCACCGGCGCCTCCACCCAACACAAGTACTTCATAATACTCCCTGGCAGCACACCTGGCTGCTGTGTGTAAGCTGAAGGAGCTCCTCTTCTGCATTCCCGTTTTCAGCAGCCGTACACCAGGACGGAGGCAGGAACAGGACGACACCACTCCAGTTGCTGACATCTTTCAGTATGTGGGAAGCTACAAGATAAGGAAAGGCACCAGTAATGATTACAGAAGGCAGAATTTATTTGTATGCCTGGATAAGTCTTCAAGGCAAGAACTGTAATACTAAATCTTTGTTGCAGCTAAACCACTAATGAGTAACCAATTTGGGGAAGAAAAGAAGAAAAAAAAAAAATTGATCTTGGCCTCTGCCAGGAAACTGAAATTTCATACAAGCACATGAATTCTGACAAAGCATAAGAACATTTCCTTATTATCATGGCAGGAAAGTGTATCTGATCCTATAGCACAAGAGATGCATACGCTGTACCTCCAGCTGTAATATTACAATCCTGAAGAGACAAGTGCCACGAAAAGGAACAAGAATTTGGTAGGTGTTGTAGATCAATGAAATATTGACCAACATAGTTGTGTGAACGTACTGAGTGCCATTCCCCTAACTGTACTGTGTCAGCCAAACACATCACTACATTTATATTTTATCACTAGGATGTACCAGCATGTGCGCCCATCAGACATACCCCTTCTGGCTGCCCCTCGGGGGTGCGAGCCGTTGGGGTAAGCATGCCAAGTTCTACGGTGCTGTGAGCAAGGGCATGTGTGTTAGTCTGTCCTCGCAGGAGAAGCAGGGAGCCCTTAGCTTGACAGCAGAACAAAGTCCAACAAAACAAGAGTTTACATCTTCCTAGATCTGGGATCTTTGAGTGTACCCAAAATATTTAATTCTCTGTCCATGGTCACCTCTTAGCTTTTACACCAGCGAAGCAGCTGGAAACGGAGGTCAAAGACCCACACTTATCCTTGCTATGGCGGCACCCAGTCACCTGACAAGTGAGAGCCAGAACCCTAAAGTGTGATATATAGTGACAATTGTAGCACGGGATATGCAATTCCATTATCTAGAAGACAATCAAAGTTAACACGTGTGTTTCCCTCTCTCTGCTGAAGTGCACAAGAGTGTTTCCTTTTCTAAATCCATTGTTTGCATACGCTGAATATCAGTTTTTAACTTTTCAATGATAGAACAGGTATAAACTCATTTTAACTCAGTTCCTTATTGCCACATTGCCAATAAAGAATGAGTAAGCATTATAACCTGAAAAGCAACTTATGTCAAGACTTTCCTGTGTTCTATACCTGCTCCCCTTTGTTTAATTCCTTTAGTCATCAGGCAAGAATTCCAGCTTTTACACTTAAAAAGGGCAGAATTCATTTATGGTACTTGCAGAGAGAAGTTTGAAAACTAAACTAGAAACCCCAAATATTTTAAATAAAACCTTCCAAGGTCAGCTTCAAAAATTCTCATCTATGCTAGATGTAGTTGAGCAATTAATTCTGCACCTTCGTGTGCTAACTGAACATCCCTCATCTCCATATACCCCAAATTCTTTATCAAGTCCCATTATTCACTTCTACAGTAAAATTAATTTGGGACAGAGAGGTAAAATCTCAGGTGTCCACTTTAAAAGCAATTTTAAACATTTCATTTTACAGGAAGCTTCCAAGGTGCAGACATATTCTTCCCACCGCCCTCCCCATTCTAAATAAACCCACAGCTCTATAATAAGTTAGTTTCACTTTAGAAGACTGTTCATCATGTATCTAGTGCAGGCGGTTATTTAAAGATGTGGACAGGCTGCCAAGCAAGGGGAGCAAGTTGTTCTAGCCCTAGAAATAAAAGTTACCTGATGGAGATGTGTCCTGCTTTCTCCAAGACAGAGAGAGATGGATTATCAAGAGTAAGTTTTGCAACTTCTGGTTGCGACACAGTTTTAAGAGGGACATCCTGTTTCCGGAAGCTCATGAACGCAGCCGTTTGCTCTGGGTTTTATTAAACACATAGAACAGGCACAGCGGCCTGCTGGCTGACAACACACAGCACGTCCGCACCAAGAGAACATGACTTCATTTTTGTAATGCTCACTAAGGAATAATTATCTTCTCTGATTTTGAAGTGAGCACACACAAGATGTACCTTAGCTATCAGCAGTCTAACTGATGAGAATGCAGTATTATGTTGCTTCTAAGTTGCTTCAGAGTCTACAGAAACAATCTGAAGTGTCATTTGTAGACAGCTCTTTTAAAAAGAACAGCAAAACCCTTCATATTAAACTCCCAAGTTAGACAGCAGCTGTACGATCCAGTCAGTCAACAACACATCAACCCTCTGCTTTGGACCCTGGAGATACAGGAACAGGGAAATCACAGAACAAAAACTAAGGTAAAGGGGAAAATTCATAGTTAGCCTACTGAAGTGAGCTGAAGTTTTAAGCTTTTACAAGACCATTTTAGCACACAGCACACTTATCCAGCATCCTTTAACAAAACACGCCGGTTGATAGTGGCCTTATTAGCATGGAATGGGGAGGCACTCCTTATCAGGGGGTGTAGTGACAGGAGGAGGGGTAATGGTTTTAAGCTGAAAGAGGGTAAATTTAGATTAGATGTTAGGAAAAAAATTTTTAATGTGAGGGTGCTTAGACACCAGCACAGGTTGTCTGGGGAAGCTGTGGATGCCCCATCCCTGGAGGGGTTCAAGGCCAGGCTGGATGAGGCTGTGAGCAACCTGGGCTAGTGGGAGGTGTCCCTGCCCACGGCAGGGGGTTGGAACTCGATCTTTAAGGTCCCTTCCAACCCGAACCATTCTGTGATTCTATCAAATCACACTCCTAATGAAGATCTGTATACACACCTTAGAGTGCTGTCTAGAAAGGTAAAGCCTACAATACACTTCTCTGCCTTAGTGAGGGCTCTGCTTAGCCTGAGACAGTTCCACTGTTTGAAATGAGTTCTGTTACTAAGAGAGGTAAGCCTGTTCTACAAATGCTTTCAGACACAGTGGTTTGTTACAGCATCAGCAGCTCGTGTAACACTACTGCAGCACAACTCACCTAGCACCACATAAAAATCAGCGCGATGTGACTCACAAGAACTCCACAAAAAATGTCATTTCTACCAGGACAGCTAGCATTTGAAAGCTTTCTCCCCCCCCCCCCCCCTCCTTTTTTTAAAAATAGACTTTTTTTAACAGACTTAGCTTGAAGATAGTCAGTGACTGTCCCACCTCCATTCATAAATCTCTTTTCCCTTTTACTTTAAGGCTATTTGTTTGCATGCTTTTAGAAAAGTCTGTTTAATACTGAAGAAAGTGCTCTTTAGGAAAATCACAGTTAAAACTGACAAGGAGAGCTCAGTATTATTTAGTGTTTGAATGCCATTAAGCAGGCTAAGGTAGTACAAACATAAAACCAGTGACTTGTGACTTCAGTCCAAAAAAAAAAAAAAAAAAAAAGGAAACAGAAAATACTGTTTTCCAGAGTTAGTGTTATATCCCCTTAAGAGATTGAGAAAGCAAGCCATATGGAACTATGTTCATTAAGCTGTTCTTAAAAAACAAATGAATTACATTTCTACAAGCATCAAGGGTGGAAACAAATTGAGTAACAACTTTTTAAAAACTTTTCTTTAAAGGAGAACCTTGCTGAAAATAGGCTTATTAGGTAATGCATTACAAATTAATATTTTTGTGTATTTTAACCAATTTCCATCTCTATCAAAGAAAACAGATTCAACAGAACAGGACAAGCATTCCTCAAACAGGTCTGTGCAGAACTCAAAACAGAGCAGCAAAAATCTACCTAACTGCATTCATCACACTTTTGCTGTAACCTACCATCCAGCCTATAAACAAAGTGTAAAAGTTATCTTTGGCTACACTTCTCCATTATTAGTGGCCACAGGTAAAAAAAAAAAACAAAACAAAAAAACAAACAAACAACCTCCATGCAATAAAGCCATGGACAACAAGTCAGAAACACCATGCTGGCAAATCACAAGAGAAGTGGTTAATTACAAGCACCAAAATTCAATCTCTTCTCACATGCACCAATTAGGTTCCCTAGCTCATCTAACATCTGACTTTGCCCCAATGAATTTTGCAGTATTACCTACACAGAGAAGGTATCACAGAACAGCTACAACCTCAGACCTAAGGGACACATGCAGAATGGCCGGTATCACAAGCCGTTCTCCTCTCAGGTCTGTGGATTCATATCCAGTAAATAAGCCTTGAGAGGCACAGCCGGTGCCTGGAACAAACACTTAACTGAAGGAAGACGCTTCATGCAGGGACGTTCAGGACAACTAGCTTTTTCCTCTCTGGAGTACCTACCACAGGCTTAGCTCTCAAGACTGACGACTTCATTGAGCCAGTTTACGAGCCATCGATTGCAGGGAGTCAGAACACAGTTAGAAAAATCTGAACTAGCAAGCGTGAAGATCATTGCAACTATCCTCTAAACGGGTGGCCACAGATCAACAGTTTAAACATCCCACCCGCGCACCAACCCTCCGCGCCAGCACG